CTTCCACAATAAGCTCTGAGATTTCTTCCAACCCTGGAACTTCTAAAACAACATCCCCAACTTTATTGAGGAATAACTTTAGAGACTCCTCTTGTGAAAGAGGTTGCACTTTAACAATCTTACAACTCAAATAACTGCATACTTCAATTGATCTACTAGTGACAACTACTTTACACCCATTCTGTGCCTTCGGATCCGGAATTCCAACTTCCTTAAGAGAGAACTTTTCCCATACATCATCTAATATTAGCACAAATTTCACTCTTCCCATTATATCCATTAGTGCCCCCGCTCTCATCATCACTTCATCATCATCTAGAAGTCTTTCGTCCATAGCACCAGCAATCTTCTTTTGTAATTCAAAAACATTGAGAGGATGTGATACTGTAACCCAAATGACTTTCTGAAATCTAGGCTCCCTCTGTAAATCATTGTGGAGATTCTTCATGATCGCAGTCTTTCCAACTCCACCAATCCCACAAACTCCGATCATTCCAACCTCATCACCCATCAAGTACCCCCAAATTTCTTCTCTAGTAGAAATTTGCCCCGCTAAATTCTCTGTTGGAATTCTGTTTCCACGAGCTGGAGCTCTCTCAATAACAAGGCCTTCAGGAAAGCTACCTTTTTTAATCATCTTCCTCACCACATTAATTTTTCTACAAACAAGTTTGTCAAGACAGGCACGCTTGTACCACTTGATTCCCTGCACCTTTTCTAAAAATGCTTGTACATCAACATTAATGTCTTGTACTTGCTTAAGCCAGTCTTGCACTTCTCGTCTAACAATTCGTCCCCCACGAGCCTCTGCTCCTTCTATTCTTGATTCTATATCTTGCTTTCGGTTGGTTAGAGTGTCCAATTCTCTTCTCAGCTCACCCACATCATCATTAAAATTTCTATATTGATCTATACAGTTGCAGGTTGGAGTACCACAAATGCAACTCAATGCAGTGAAGATTGCCCCAGCTATGTCCGCCATTAATTGGTAATTTAAGGTCCTGAAACATACTAAATAATGTGAATAAAAAATACTTCTTCTAGTGTTCGTCAACAGAAAATTCGAAAGCATAAATAAACAATAAAAAAAAAAGTTAAACTAAATTGCCAATACCAACCATATATAGGAGGTATAAAACCATCCATTACGTACCAAAGGAAATGAGAAACAAACAACTATATATATTATATAAATGAATAAGCTATTTGAAATAATAATTTTATTCCTTTCTACTCCTTGTTTGGCGGCAGATATATTTATCCAATTAAATAAATATATATGCTAATTGCTTAAGTAATGAACAAGGTTGCAAACTCTCACTAAATTCATAATTGTCTCAAAGTTTTATGTTGCTCAAATAAAGTACCAAAGTAATTGAAATTCTCAAATAAAGTCATAATTAGACAGAAAATTTTAGGGCTAACATTGTTAACTCTAAGTGGTTGTTGACTAAATATTCATTTAAAGTTGTTAATAATTGAAAAGTTCAATCAATTATACTTGTTGTGTTGTCAAACACATTTTTTTTTGGAAACATGTCATCACTTTTATTTTTCAGAACTACTGCTAATTAATTGAAAATTTTCGTTTTAAGTTGGGTTGGTATTCAGAATTAACCAAAACTGCATATTTTAAAAGTTGGCTAAACATTGAATAAGGTCTCATACTTTCACTAAATTCACAATTGAGATCCCAAAATTTATTTCGCTCAAATAAGGTTATGAAATAAGGTCCAAATTGGACGAAAATTATTATTAGTTAAATTGGTCATTAATGTCGTTAATTATTTTAATTGGTTAAATATCTAAAATGCATGATCCCTAGCCTTTCTATTTTATCTTGTAATAACCTTAAAGGTTTCAATTACCTCAAAATGATTCTTAAACTTATTTGTTTTGATGATGTGACAATTTTGGAAGACCTATAACTAAAAATTAATTTTTTTTATTGTAATTACGCAATATTTATGTGGCCTATTATAAAAAAGTTCCATTATTGTTTTTTGAAAGGAAAATGACTTTGAGACAACCTTTTTGTATCACCTTTTGATATAATTTGACATGTCATTTAAAGGATTGAGTATTTTCATTCATTTGAAACTCATGATATTGAATGCATTTACTCATTTAATGACACATAGAAATTATATAAAAATGTAATATAAAAAGGTTATCCATATATCACTTCCCTTTTTAGAAAGGTACCAACCAAATTATATCAATTAGTTGAATTAGCAACCATAAAAAAATAGTTAAACAAAAAGGGAACAAAGGAAAGGTGGTATTATAGGCAATTCACAAATTCATCATCACTTTTACAATAAATAAAATAAAAAATTAGGTTTCATAAAAAAAAAAAAAAAGATTAGGTTATTTAGGTATGTTAAGTATAGTTGTGGTAGTTTTTGGTTTTGGTTTTCAAAATTCAAACAATTAAAATTAAAACTAAAAACCAAAATTAAAAATTAAAATTAAACAACTTAGTGGGTAACAAATTTAAAAATGAATATCCAAAACTCTAAACCTCTTCAATTTATAGAA